AGGCCCAGGAGTGCAGCTTATCACCTTGGAGGCCAGCCCCCGTTGCCTGGGGGGGACCAGGGCCTTCCCGCTGTGGGGTCCTCCTGGGAGAGCAGCTCGTGTCAGGATGCGTGTGAGGTCCAGCGCCTTGTGTCCTGCGTCTTCCTTCCTCTGCACTGCATCTTCCGCTGGCCCCTTTGCACTCAGGTTCTGTCAGTTCGGGGACGAACTCCAGAGAAGCCAGAGCCCAAGCTGCCTCTGGGCTGTTCACCTGCCTTGGTGCAGCCTGCCAGGCCCCCAACACCTCCCCCCGGACCTGGGGGAGGGAAGGGAAATGGTGACCAAGCTTCAGGGACCGGGCCGAGCTGGGACTGACGGTGGCATTGTGTGTTTGTCTTGCAGGACGACTATATCCCGTACCCCAGCATCGACGAGGTAGGAGCCCCCTGGATCCTGTCTCGGGGGCAAGGCCTGGGGAGCTGATGGCGATGATGGTGATGGTCCCTCTGCCTCCCCATGGTGGGGAGAGCCTTGGGACTTGAGGGCCTGAGACCTTTCCCGTTTGTGATTTCAGCTTTTTAAAAAAAAATCAGGAGTGCCGAAGTTGGAGATAGTGTGGGTCCTGCAGGAGGGGTTCATGCTACTGCCTTTGGATTCCTATATGGGGGTCCCCTCTGTGGGAGTAGGTCAGAGGTGGGGAGGATACCACCATTGGCGCCCCTCCACTCCCCCCGCAGACCAGGGCAGGCTCAAGGGCAAGACTCTCCCTTTAGCCATAACCGGTTTGGCTCAGTGGATAGAGCGTCGGCCTGCGGACTGAAAGGTCCCAGGTTCGATTCCGGTCAAGGGCATGTACCTTGGTTGCGGGCACATCCCCAGTAGGAGGTGTGCAGGAGGCAGCTGATCGATGTTTCTCTCTCATCGATGTTTCTATCTCTCTATCTCTCTCCTTCCTCTCTGTAAAAAATTAATAAAATATATTTTAAAAATTTTAAAAAAAGATTCTCCCTTTGCCTCCAGGTTGTGGAGAAGGGAGGCCCGTACCCCCTGATTGTCCTGCCCCAGTTTGGGGGCTACTGGATCGAGGACCCGGAGAATGTGGGCACGCCCACCTCGCTGGGCAGCAGCATCTGTGAGGAGGAGGAAGAGGACAGCTTCAGCCCCAGCACCTTTGGCTACAAGCTCGAGTGCAAGAGTGAAGCCAGGGCCTACCGCAGGCACTTCCTGGGCAAGGTGAGGCCAGGCCCTGGTGAAAGCGGCTGCCGGGGGGAGGGGGGGTCTGCCTGGGGAGCCCAGCGTCTCTCCCCAGTGCCCCCTCTCTGCTCTCCCCCTCCCTCGCCGCCTGCCTCTGTCCTCCTTGGAGAGGTCTGCCTGGCTCTGCTCCTGGGCAGGGGGCAGGGGGTGTGCAGGAGCCCAGGGGGCTCAATGTGATGGGTCCTTGTGGGGACCGCCCCTGGCAGATGTTCTAGGAGGCGCTGGACTAGGTAGTGTTTGGGGGGTGGAAGGAGAAAATACATTCTCACTCCTTGGAAGTCTCCGTGTCCATGTAAATAGTACAAATCTCTCATGGCCTCACTCAGGCAGGTCCCCTGTGCTTGTGCCGGGATGTGCTCTGAGCCTCTGACTGCTTAACCGGGACAGTTCCGTTTCTTTCCATATATCCTGCCCTTCAGCCTTGCCTGGTTCCGGAAGTCCCGAGGGCAGGCTCCGGGAGTCTCCGGCCCGTCAGCTTTGCTGAGTCTCCGGGGGAGGAGATGGATCAGGATCCCCCTGTCTCCCCGCCTTGTTAGAATGCAGATCCCAGGCCCTGCCCCAATACAGCAGGCTGGGTGCGCCCCCTGAGCCGGGCTGAGACCCACTGTCCAGAGATCTCCCGCTCCGCTTGGTGGAGGTGCCAGGCCCTGCCCCTTCTTCATTCTCACAAATCGCCTGAAGCCGCAGGGGCTGCTCCCTGGGACAAGGAGTGGACTCAGTGTCTTGTGGGGAAGCCCTTGAGCTGCAGTCGAGGCGTGTGTGAGTTTGAATCCTGGATCTGCCGCCTACTAGCTGTGTGACCCTGGAGAGTGACTTAACCTGCCTGCACATGTTTTCTCCATCTGACAAGGGAGCTGCCCCCATAAAGTTGTGGTCTGGGTTAAAGGAGATAATGGGCACTAAGCAATTAGCCCAGTGCCTGGCATAGACAGCCTAAAGATTTGGTCGTCGGAGTCAATTACTGTGATCCTCCTCCTCTTCCTCCCCCTCCTCCTCCTCCCCCCTTCCCCTCCTCCCCCTGCTCCTCCTCCTCCTCCCCGCCTCCTCCACCTCCTCCTCCCCCTCCTCCCCCTCCTTTTTGTCCCTCTTCTCCTCCTCCCTCTTCTCCTCTTCCTCTCCATCTATAGCAGCCACAGCTGGTCTTCCTCCTTGCTGTGGGGCTTCTCTCTCCTGGGGAAGGAGGTGATTTTGGGGGCTGTGCCTGGAAGGCCCCCTCCTCCCTGCTAACACCCGATTTCTGCTTCTAGGATCATCTAAACTTTTACTGCACCGGTAGCAGTTTGGGGAACCTGCTCCTGTCCATCAAGTGCGAGGAGGTGGAGGGCATTGAGTACCTTCGGATAATTCTCAGGTGGGGCTGCAGCATGGTTGGAGACCACACCCCTAGTGGCGGGGACCCAGACATACCAGTCTGACCAGTCCTGTGTGTGTGAGGGGGGAGGGGGGGTGGGGATGGGGAGACAGACCGGCCTATGTTCTCTGTTCGGGTTGCCAGGCAGGAAGACCAGGTGTTTTGCCAGCTGACTGATTGTGGGAGTCGGAGTGGCATCCTGGTCTCAAGGTCACGTAGACCTTACCCTCACCCGCCTGTCTCTGGCTGTGAGGAAGACGGAGCAGAAAAATAGCGACGGCTCATTTTGCAGAGACACAGTCCCACGTGGTCCTGGGAGAGGGTTTGCCGGGACCCTGCCCCTGGCACACATCCAGTCGGGAACTATAGACCCCAAAGCGTCCGCGTGCCTGCTGGGTCCTCAGGATGTGGTGGTGGCCACAACAGGAGCACCGATTTACAGCTAAGCCAGGGACCTCTCCGGAACCGGCTTCCGTTCGGTTCGACTAACATGTCCCGTGGAACCGCCTTTGTACCAGGAGCTGTGATAGGGGCTTGGGCGGCAGTGGTGGCTGAGCGGTGGTCCCTCCTCCCCAGAGGGAGAGAAGAAGGGGATTTCAGTGTGTGGCGCAGGCGCTGTTTCAGTGACAGGCACAGGGTGCGATGGAGCACAGGGTCCGTCTCATTCCTCTCTGTCCCTGGGCCGGTGGGGAAGCCAGGACGGCCAGTGCGAAGGCCGAGGCCGGTGCTTGGCAGGGAGCTGTGAACCTGTCAGGCTCCCGATCCCTACTTGTTGAATCAAATTGGAAGTCCTTGAAGGAAAGGAACAGTAACATTTGGAAAAGAGCAATAACATTTTTTTCTGCCCACATTTTGAGATAAATATGGGAGGGGACAGGGACACGGAGCCCTGCGATGGGAGCGGTGGGGCGGTACCGGGAAGTTGTTAGCAAAAATCAGAGGAGAGCATCCGCCGGTCCATTGGTGATGCTGCAGAGAAGCTGGGGGAGATGTGGAGGCGCTGCTGCAGGCGGCCAGCAGCCCGCAGAAAGGAAGGCTGCTGAGCTGAAGGCTACTGCTGCATCCCGAGCTAGGGGAGAGCCTGGTGCGGCAAGAAGGGAGTCGCCAGGGCTGAAAAAGAAGAAAAAGAAGAAGGAAAGGAAGACGAGGAAGAAGAAAAGGATGAGGAGGAGGAAGAAGATGAAGATGATGAAGAGGCTGGTTCTAGCACAATTTTTTTTCTTGTCTAAAAAGCATTTAACCTCCTGCACACAACTCACTCCTTTTAAAGAAAAAAGTTGAGAAGGAAGGCTGTGTAAGATTTGTTTTTAAACTGTACAGTGTCTTTTTTTGTATAGTTAACACACTACCGAATGTATCTTTAGATAGCCCTGCCCTGGTGCTATTTCCTTTCTTTCTTTTCTAAAATACGTTTTTATTGATTTTAGAGTGAGAGGAAGGGAGAGGGAGAGAGAGAGAATCATTGATTGGCTGCCTCCTGCATGCCCACTATTGGGGATTGAGCCAGTAACCCGGGCATGTGTTCTGGCTGGGACCTCTCGCTACATGGGACAACGTACAACCAACTGAGCCAAGCCAGCCAATAAAGAAGGAATATGCTAATTGACTGCCACGCCCTCAAAGATGGTGGCACCCACAGCCTCAAGATGGTGGCGCCCAGTCCCCTCAGCCCCCCAGCTGCCCAGGGCTTCCCGAGGCTCAGGTAACCAGGGCTGGCGGAGCTTGTGCTGTCGGCAGTGGCAGCAGCAGAGGTGTGATGGGGGCGTCACCTTCCCCTGTTCGCCGGGTCGCCTCCCGCCCTGAGGGCTCCCGGACTGTGAGAGGGGGCAGGCCGTGCTGAGGGACCCCCCTCCAGTGCATGAATTTTCATGCACCGGGCCTCTAGTATATATATAATGATTAAAATATGCAGAAATTCACAGAATACAATTATAGTGGTAGATTAAAACACACTTCTTATCACTTACAGCTCAACACAACTTATCACTTACTGATAGGAAATGAGAGGATTTGGATAATCTCAGTATTATTTATGTGAATTATATATATTGGTCTTTATTTGTGTCTATCTATAGTTAACTATCAAACTTTGACCCTCTAACAGAGATTTCTGCTGCTTTTCAAGTGCCTGTGGAATATCTACACATTGATTGTAAGGAGATCAGTGGTTTTCTGAGAATGTGCTGCAACAGTCATCTTGGAGCAAAGCGGAAAAACAAAAAACAAAACTCAACCTTCTAGGCGCTGACCATTTAAAAGATAATAAAGCCCAGCCAGTGTGGTTCAGTGGTTGAGGATTCATCCATGCACTGAGAGGTCCCTGGTTCGAGTCCCGGTCAGGTCACATGCCTGGGTTGCGGGCTCGATCCCAGTAGGGAATGTGCAGGGGTCAGCTGAGTGTTTCCATCTCTTTATCCCTCTGCCTGCCTCTCTCTTTCAAAACAAAACAAAACAAAACAAAAAACCAAACACATGTTTTTTTAAAAATGACAATAAAAATTTAAACATGCACATACATATATATTTGAATATAAATATGTAAGATATATAAATACATAAGTAATAACATATATTCCTATTCCTTTTTTATTTCTAGAATTCTATAGAACATTGTGCTGTGACTTCTCTTAACAATATATCTAGAGTTCTTTCTATATTAGTACATGGAGAAGTTAGCTTGTTAATTCCTTTTACTGCTACATAGTATTCTATTACATGGACATGAAGTAATTTATTTAATAGATCCCCTATTAATGGCTATTGTCAGTATTTTGGTATCACAAATAATGCTGCAATGAGTAACCTGGTACAAATTGTATGGTTTAAAATAATTTCTCAGAAGTGAGTTGGCTGGGTCAAAACATAAATGCATTCGTGTTTTAATAGATATTGCCAACTAGCCTTCTGGAGGAGGTCTGTAAACTTGAACCATTACCAGTAATGTATCAGAGTACTTATTTTTCCAAAGCCTCTCCAACAGAATATTTTGTCAAGCACTTGGATTTTTGCCAATCTGATCAGCAAAAATAATATGTTAGTGTAGTTTAAATTTACAGTAATTTTGCTGAATTATGTTGGGCATCTCTTCATATATTTAAGGAACACATGTATTTATTTTCTGTATAGTGTGTTTATAACCTTTGCTTCTTTTTAAAATTGAGTTGTTAGTCCAAATTTCTATTTTTAAAAATCTTGCAGATAATTCTTGATAGCATGTGGATTTAGGAACCAATCTCTTGTGGCACAAAGTAAATCTGTATAAATTTCAAAAAGCAGATACTTTGCCAAACATATTTGCTTTTATAATTTGATACATGGTAGCTATTCAATATGGCTGCTGTTATTATCAATATTATTACCTAACGGGAATAAGAGGAAGGAATTAAGAAAGATTAAGGCCAAAAAATAAATTAGAAATAAAATGAGCACAAGACTTGATGTATACATCTAGGCTACAGATTTATATGTAGTGTAGAAAAAGATATACTTCATTTGGAAGAAAAAAACAACAAAATAGGTAACTAGCTAGTTAAATATAGATAAACATAAAATAAAAACCTACAAAATTAGGCATTAGGAAAGGCATATAGCCACAGATGTGAAGAAGATTAAAAAATTACTAATGTTATATTCAATCCACATTATTATACTGGAAATTTTATTTGGAACAGATGCCTTTCTAGGAAAGCATGCTAATTTAACACGAGATAAAAAACCCGAACAATAACTATGTAATAAATGGAAAAGTTTGCAAAAAATTCTCTCTCCAAAAGTTTCTAGGTCTGGATGGTTTGCAGGTAGTTATTTTAAGCTCACAAGGAACAGATTTCTTGCTGCTTAAATTGCTCAAGAGAAACAAATATGGGAAGCTTCCCAATTAATTTAACAATGCTTAGGAGATTCTCATGAACGATATTAGACCAATGAAAGGAAAAAAGAAAGAGAGGAAAATAGGGCCCAATATTCCTTATGAATATGGAAGTAAAGATTCTAAATAAAATACCAATTCCAGCAACTCAAATCTAAGCAGTCTATTAACAGAATCATTCACTATAGCCAAGAAAGAGTTACTTTAGGAATGCAGAAATGGTTGATATTAGGAAATTATTTGTCCACTCAGTGTTTGTCTAACCAAAGCATAACAACGTATGCCAGACTTTCTCTAGGGAGAGGGACATGTGAGGAATAAGCGCTTGTTACCTGGCTATAGGAAGCATTCCGTTCCCATTAGGTCTTCTTATTCCTTCTTCTTACTCATCTTCTCCTATGGACATGGATTATTATTGGCTTGGGAGGATGATCCAAAGATAGATGGTCTGGGAGAAGTGAAAGAAGTTCCCAAGAGCTGGAATGTGGAGTGTGTGTATACATGTGTATAGTACGTGTGAATTTGTGTAAGGTTGAATGGTTGTGCTGGGAAGATTTAAAAAAAAGGCGAAATCATGTATAAACTCTGTCTAGGAACTTAGATTTTAATCCTGTGAGCAAATAGGAGAGGTCCTGAAAGGAGACTGTCATGACCAGACTTGCACTGTGGAATGAATACTGCCTAGGGTAAGGAAGATGGCTTGAAGGGAAGGCAAAGCCAGCAAGCAGCCGGCAGATGAGTCAGGAGGCTGCCTTGATGAGTCAGGTGACTGTCATATATTATGAATGGCGCCTCCAGAGCTGTGCTATCCAATGGCCCTGATGGGAACTGGAACCAGGGTGCCTGGCACTGAGGATAGAGCAAAATGGGGGGAAAATTCCAAAATACCCAGGGAAAACGGACATTAAGAAAGAGCCGAAAATACCAACAATGAGAGAGGGATTTAATCCAATGAAATGTAAATAATGGTACTCTTTCAAAACGACTTAAATAGATTTAAGATTCTCAGAAGATAAAGAATAGCATCTATAAAAGGGATAATAAATTATGATACAATGAATGAATAGAAATGAATCAAGAATGGATATACATGGGTATGAAAAGGAAACAATTTCAATTATTGGAAATAAAAAAATAGTTGTTGAAGT